TGGAGCGAGGAGAAGGGTGGTGGAGAGATGTGAAGGGAGGCGGGGAGGAGCGGGGCAGGGTGGCGCTGGGTGAAGCCAGGTAAAGGGGAGCGGAGCAGGCGGAGTGGAGTGGAGAGGGGCGGAGCGAAGTGGAGCGGTGAGGAGCGGGCGGATCGGGACGGAGTGGGATGAAGCGGGGTGAAGGGAAGCGGAGCTTGGCGGAGCGGGGCGAGGCAGAGTGGAGTGGAGTGGAACGGGAAAGAGGACGGAAGGTGCGGGTGTGGGTGCGGGCGGAGAGACGAGAAGGTGGTTCCATTCGCGGCAGGTCGCGCGGAACGTGTCCCGGGATGAACTGCGTTCTGTAACCGCCCGGGCGACATTGAGGGTTTTGTGTAAGTTGAGCTATTGCATGTGTGTGCGGATTCGCTTGCAGCTGCGCGTAGGCATTGTCTAACTGAGATGAGATAACTGCGTCTGCTGTTTTGTAGGTGAATGTCGTGTAATTGAGAGAAAGCAGATGCCTGTTAAAGGTTTTATTTATACTGCTAATGTTACATGAAAATGCCTTCGCACAAATTAAATTCCAAACTTAAATTTGTGCGAATGCATTTTCATGTAACATTAGCAGTATAAATAAAACCTTAAACAGGCATCTGCTTTCTTTCAATTACAAACATATTTCATTTTATATGTATTTATTTACAACGTCAGACAAAAATATTAAAATGTAGGTAAAGTTTTATCATTTTTGTAGAATAATAACTGCTTTGACGTGAGAATTGTATTCCTTTATATGAATAAGTTTCAGTTCACAAGCTTCAAGTAAAGTAGAAAGAGCTCCAACATTCTTGGTCTTCGTAGTATAAGGATATAAGGTTTCGTAAATGTCAAATAAAACAAATACAAACGTCTTTCAATATAGATTTGGACATGCTTTTTGGTCCCCTCACCAAGGTATGGTCTCTCAAACTGTCCAAAGTTTTGAGCTTTGCAAAGGAAAGGTAGGTGCTCAATAAGTGCGACTTTCTTTCCCTCATGATGGTAATTTCGTTCAAATCAAATAATTTTGTACATACATCGATGAAACATTTAAAGAATATTAAAAATAAGGGTACAGGTAAACGTTCTCAAAAGAAAATATATCCACAAATACCGGTACACTGAAACTAATTAATGACGTAAGATACATGAGAAATATTTCTATTATAACTCAGAGGATTTGGCTTCTTTTTGAAGCAAACCGCAATTCAAATACATAGTGTGTTTCCAATTATCGGTGAATGCCCGTGAATTCATTTTCCTGGTTTTTAAAATGTGGTAACAAACAAATTTAAACCCACAATAAATATTTCGCTTTGCGATACGTTGTTTAAAACTTCCATTTTTATAATTTCGTTTCAATTTTTTATACATGGATTGTAATATTTCCCCGGTATGTAATTTTCTTTCAAAACAAGCCATAAAGTTCAACTTTCCATGGGGTCAAAAAATTTAATTATTAAGTAAATATTTAAGTTCTATCACATTATGGAAATGGAAATGAGAAAAGAAAAGTCATCGAAACGGAGGAGCAGCCAAGATTCTTTTATTAGCAAGCGTCGCCGACTGCGCGCATCCCGCGGCATACGGCGCTGTCTCCACCGCGCCGCGCTGAACAGCGGGTCGGAGTCGCCGGAGCAAGCGGCGGCGGTGTCACGCCATAAGTAATGCGACGTGTGACATATTTATCGCCGGTATCAGCGAGGGCTGCGGGGCGACGCGACGCGACGTGTGACGCAGATCGCGAGGAAGGTCGGGAAGCGTGGCGCCGCCGGCGGGCCGCGCCGGGCGAGGATGCAGGGGGGAGGGGGGAGAGAGGAATTCGCTATTGGAAACTCGTTGGGCGAATGTGTACGCCGGGACACTGGGCGCGATATGAGCGCGCAGCGGCAGACGGTGACCTCGCACCGCTTTCCGGAGGGGCTGGCCAATGCGTGGTGAAGACCATTCAAAATGTGGAATTTTGTAGATACATGGAGAAAAGAGATGTGAATAAAATTTAGTGGTAAGATTATAGGAAATTGTTTCCAATACAAAATATGAAGACAAATACAGAACGATTATAATAAGCAATGAAGAAATAAATGTACATAAATCCTACATATACATAATTAATCCTGAGAATTTGGCTACTTTTATAAGCTTCTTCAATATTATAAATTCTCCCCAATCCCCATGAACCTCAGTCAAATTTAACACCTTTTTAACTAAGTTATTGGCGTATTTTCACTAAAAAGTACTATTTTCTCGAGATTTGAAATCATGGAATCGTTCTTTTTTATTTTAAAATCTATGTGAAATAATTATTAATATATATATATATATATATATAT